GCTAAAAATATCACAAATAAAGACTCTGCACTAAAGCTGTAATGTCTGGTACTAGGAATAACTTTAGAGTGAAGTGTTACAAAAACAATATTCAAAGTCTTTTGATAACTTTGCAGGCATTTTCATCACTTTTAAAAAATAACTTACATTCTGATCCGGCACAGCACTGTTCTTTAGACGCAAACGTTTTTGACTGTGCTTATCATGGTGCGCACTTCTTGTTAAGTTTAAGTGGTCATGTGGTCTTGGCTCATTGGTCATGCCACACACCCTCATCCACTTTTCTCTGTACTTCTTTTTTAAGCGGGAACCTAAAAGTAAAAAAGGGTCAACACATGCTTAGTCCATGCAACACATACTCTGTGTATTAAGCTGAATAGCTCCACTGAGCCCAGTTTCACCAAGTGCGGTAAACTTAATTTTGGGGTAGTTTTTGTAGTTAAGTAGTGGGGTAGTTTGGTAGTTTACCCCAAATTGAGTTTACCGCACTTGGTGAAACTGGGCTCTGGTGAGTTTCCTTTTCTTGTCAGCACATAAGTGAAAGAAAACTGTGTAGACAAGAGATGAACCAAACCCCCATGGAAAGGTAGGTGTTACCACAACCAGGAAATGGGATTTGAAGGGCTGGATAAATGTGTCTGAGTTCTGCCTTTCAGCCAGACTGGAAAACATCCATACACTACGCCGGATGCCCGTGAGCCCCTCATGCGCCAAAATTTGAAGCAAGCAATTTTGAGCTGAAATTCCAGTGCATGATTTCCACTGAAAGTTGGGTGCCTGTTTGCACCAAAATTAAGCCACTTTTACATAAAGCACATGTGCATATCTACCGACCAAGGCTATATCAACCAGACAGATCGTTCCGGGGCCTCGGAGTCAGACGCTCTTCCCTTTCTGAGCGTCTGAATTAGTTAATGTTCCCATGAAAACCCAATACCACAATTTGTGTGGCACACTGTAGAATCTTAAGGTGAAACAAGGCCCAGGCCGGAAGTTCCGACTCTCTTCAGACCTGCCAGCGCCCGCAGGGCAAGTCTGCTGCTAGATTGACCACAGCGTGTCAAAAAATTCGGTGACAGCCATTTGCATAAACATTATGCGCCATGCGGTCACCCTGCGCCTAAAAATTCAGCTGCCACCATGCGCTGAATTTGACGCATGCAAAATTATGCTGGATGTGCGATGAAATTTTCGGGGCAACGCCGCAATCACGCCACTTCGCATGACATATTCGGCATAACTTGCGTTTTTTTATCCAGTCTGGCATTTCAGTTGTGAAAGCCTGAACAGTTCAAAAGGGTTTGCTAATCCAGGGGAGAGTTCTGTGAAAACAAAAGTAATAGAAGAGCCATTGCAATAAATAAGAATTTAGGTACCTACCTAGGTACCTAGGTACTTACTTGTGCACAGTCACACGCATATCAGTCCCGACCCGACGTAGGTCGTTTGCTCCGCGGATCACGCACTTCTTCATCGTTATTATAGGTATTTGTTCGAACAAAAATGCCCTGATTTCGGATCAGAGCCACGGTATAAAATATGGTATACTGCCTTGCGTAAGATAAAAATGCATTTTAGCAATTGGCTACCAAACGAGATGTCATCTGTTCAGGGCATAGCATAGGTTTACTTTCATAGACCTCATGAAAGTAGCTCATGAAACTCATCACCAATCAGCGCGACGGATTTCAAGATTCGATTGCGGATGTTCATCCGCCGGCCGATTGCCAGAACAGACAACGAAAAATAACGCAACTGCTCGTGGTCTGCTCGCTAGTACAGGGATCCGTGCCTGATCAGTACTGCTGCAAGCTGATTGGTTAAAAACCAAAGCCTCGCCGCGGGTGGCTGTATTGTCGGATAAGAACGCATTCCTGGGATAAGAACGCATTCCTGGCATATTTTCTTTTAAAATTGCCGATAACTACGAATGGAGGCCGAAATCGGCCGTAAGGAGGTAGACGGAGAGGTTTTCGGACACGGGCTACAAGATGGCTATCTCAGTTTCAATCCCCATGTTAAAGGTGGCCCTTTTCCTTTAATGAAAAGAATACCAAATCATTTATGTGACCCACTTACAAAAATACAGAAACACCAGACGGCCTTGAGAAACGCCCTTTTCATCACAGGAATGGAATACACAGATAAAAGAAGCGCGTGGAAACTATTGATTAGTAATCGTCTCAAACGCGCAATTATCGGAAACTATTTCGGCAGCAGACGTGTTCATGGAACGCTGATTGTGGTCAAGTGGGTGATGACGTTTCAAAAATGGGCGGAGCTTAGAGCCTTCGGCCGGCCGCAGCGGCCGCAGGGTTCATGAACAGGGCCCGTCTAGTAGACATTTCGTCTAGTCTGAATTATGTCATATTTTTTATATAAAATGTATTTTTTTTACCTTTAAGCTCCCGAAAGATATCGGCGGTACGGGATAAAATTATTAAACCGTTCGTAGGTAGAAAAATCTTTTAAACGTCTCGCCTATCGGCTCGCCGTTTAAAAGATTTGTTCTACCTACTCGCGGTTTAATATATAATATCGATTACCTACCTATACCGCTATTATGGCCGTCTCGGGAGTTATGTGAAGGTAAACAAACTAGCATATTTTGCCGGGGAGGACCACACCAGCCAAAGAATCAGCCTCATTTGGTAAACTGGACATATTCATGCCAACAGTAGGTACATATTTTGTGTGTCACGTCGTTCGGTCCTTCAATGTGCATATATTAAGCTCACTTTGATATGATTGTCATGTTTTAAGTCCGTTAATCGTTTTGGACGATTGAAGGCGATAATCGAATAAGTTGTGTTAAAGACCAGCGTGTTATCCTTTGTGTGTTATGGTAGCCTACACAAATTTTGGACCGGTGAATGTGCACTTGAGGTATTCGGCAGGCACGAGCGGTGATTCGGCATTTTGTTGGTTCGTGGTTCAGCGATTGAGCGGTTCAGTAGTTCAGTGGTTCGGTGATTCGATGTTTCGTTGGTTTGGTTCGTAGTTCAGCAATTCAGCGGTTCAGTAATTCAGTGGTTCGCTGGTTTAGTGGTTTGGTATTTCGGCTGTTCAGTGGCTCGGTGATTGGTAGTTCGGTTGGTTCAGTGGTTTGGTATTTCGGCTGTTCAGTGGCTCGGTGATTCAGAGGTTCGGTGGTTCGTTGCTCGCCGAGCCGATACCGCCGTGTTGGATCTGGGAGCGGCCCGTCCAGCGCGACGCTCGCGGCCGGCCCCGGCGCGGCGCTGGCGCGCTATTTCTGGCGCGCCTCTGGCACGGGGCGGGCCGCCGTCGACCCTGAGGGCCCGGAGCAGCGGCCGGAGTCCGGAGGGGGCTGGCAGCCGGCCGGGTGCTGTCCCACACGGCCCGGCCGGCCGCGCCAACCCCCCCCCCCCCCCCGGCTGCCAGACGAAATGGGGCTGGCCGGAGTATACGTGATGGATTGAAATGAATTTCACCTCATCGAGTGGGACCGACGACATGGACTTCGTCGGACGCCCCAGCCCGTTCCGCGCCATTATGCTAAATAATTGATTGTGTAAAATGCTTGCAAACAGCAAAAGTACCTTCCTATAAGTAGTTAATCACGACCTGGAATATGCACATCGTTACTTTGCACTCTCGGGTATTACCACCAGTAAAACGCCTTTTGGGCGAAGAACGAGCGAGCGAGATAGTGAGCCCTGCACGTGCAGAAGGGCGAGAGGGTACTTTCAACGGGCTTGTGCAAAGCACCCTTCTAACCGGTCGCTAGCGGTGTACCAAATTTGAACGCAATCGGCCCAGCCGTTCCTGAGATCTGGAAGCGGCATTCTGCACGTGCGCACGTGCAAACGGGGTCCAAAATGACTTTTGCACGGCACCCTACTAACCGGTCCCCAACCGTGTACCAAATTTGAGCGCAATCGGCCCAGCCGTTCTCAAGATCTGGAAACGCCCCCTGCACGTGGGCACGTGCAGTAGCACCCTAACCGCAACACATGGGAATGCATTGCCTGGTGGGTGCCTACTTGTATGCCAAGTTTCAGCGAAATCGCCCCAGTAATTACCGAGTTACTGAAATGGGAACAAATTTGGCACCTCTTATTGTTGTATTTTGCACGTGCAGTGGGGGTCACTCACATAGATGAAGAGTATCCGACCTTTCGTAGAAGGGATGCAGCTACCCTATAAAAATGACCGCAAGACAATCGCTCAAGCCGCTGCTGAGATATGGGCCTCTCAAAATCATTACTTTTGCAAAACTGCTTGAACACCCTTGACTTTTCACGTGGCACGTGCCACAGCGGTCACTGAGATGTATCAAAAGTAGCCAATTACGCGGTAGAAGGGATGGGGCTACCCAGCAAAAAAGACCGCAGGCCATTCAGTCCAGCGGTTGCTGAGATATAAGCCTCTCAAAAGCGTTACAGGCCGGGCCGGGCCGGGCCGGGCCGGGCCGCTCATACTGAGATTTTTCCGTTATATTGAAAAGACTTCGCTTCGCTCGCTGCGCTCGCTCGCTCGCAACAACCTATCGCCTAGTAATGTCCAATCTACGTTTGGCAAGAGTCGTTGTAGGCGTTGTTGTTTTTGTTACTTTCATTTTAGCCCTATAATAATATTGCATTTAAATTTGAATGCATTTTTAGGATTCCGGACTGTATGTGTACCACTGAACTCTAATATATACTGGAAGGAGCATTGGTGACTTGTTTTTGTCTATCGATTTCCGCCATGTTGTGTATACCAGAAATATAAATTGCATGTACGGTAGCAGAGGTGCAGTTAAGTGAGAGGTACACTACTCAAAAGTGCTGCTGCTTCATGCTTGCAGTTTAATTGCAGTGATCAACTTTTCAAGACTTTGGTATACACAACATGGCGGAAATCGTTAGACATTCTGGCCCATATACGGCCAAGGCGAGTGCCTCCCCCTGATGTGTACCTAATGTGTATCCATGGTGTGCCTATATTTCGGGATGATGCAAAATGCCATAACTCGTGCCAACAATCAAAACGTCCGAAATATGAGTGTTATTTATTCCTAAGACTAAAGACGCGTTGCATTTTGCTTTAAAGTTATTTATATTTTTATTTTCTTGATTAAATTCAATATTTTTTTTTCCGCAACATCATAAACATTTTTTAAATGTATCCAATAGGAATGATAAAATGACTTAAATTAAAGCAGCGTCAACCAAAATCAGAAAACCTAACAATGGTAGAAAACGTGTAGTGTGTAACGTTTAATTCCTTTTTATTGATTCGCTGGCCCCTCCGCCTTCCCGCGCTGTTCGTTCTGTCTGGATTGCCCGCTTGGTCTAGTAGAGCCCCAGCCTGCGCCGCCGCCCGTCTAGCAGAGCCCCAGTCTGCGCCGCTGCCCGTCAGCCTGCGCCGCTGCCCGTCTAGTAGAGCCCCAGCCTGCGCCGCTGCTCGGCAGCCTGCGCCGCTGCTCGTCTAGTAGAGCCCCAGCCTGCGCCGCTGCTCGTCGATGTCCTGCTGCCGGCGGCGCCGGTTGGCCCGCGCGATGATGTCTCTGATGTCGTCGAGCTCGGCGCTGTGACCGACGCCGCTGCCGTCGGCGGCGAGCGGGAAGCGCGGGTCGAGCAGGTCTCGGCCGGTGGCCGGCTGCGCCCAGTGCGGGTGCGCGCCGGAGCCGGCGGGGGTCACGCCCGGCACCGGGCGACTGTCGTGGTCACCTGCCGACCAGCGGCACACAGAGTGGTCACACGGGCGGGCGGCGGTTACACGGACGAGCGGCGAGTACTCGAGGACGCTTTGGGGGCTAAACTAACTAGTGGCAGCGCCACCTGTATGTCTCCACTGCACTACTGACGAGGTACAGAGATATTCTAAACATATAGCTATAGACTAGACAGTACGTTAAGTTCTATCGACATTAATAACGTGCATCTGTGCATGTGTAACAAACACTGTCCTCTACCACATAAACAAGGTCACTGTCCCGGGCGTGCCTTGGTTTTGGAGCACGTTTATTGTTCAAGCCGTTTTGTATGCCTACATAGTACCTATGCACATTGCACACAATGGTAAACCACAACAATATTTTCTGAGTTTTCACACTGCCTAACCTGCATCTATAGTCAGCCGGTAACAGTTTAAAGTTAAAGTTAGGGTACATTATCACTAAAATGACATTAGGCATATTTTCAACGTTTGTATTCTGCATAAAAGATGTTGGGCATGCCAAGACTGAATCAGAGATTAATGCATTGCATGCGTATCAAGTGGCAGGTTCCATGCTTAGAATAAAGGGTAGTCACTTCTTATTTCCCTGGTTTCCCGCTTGCCGATGATGATGCCGCTTAGGTGCTTACCGTTCCATGGCGATCAGCTCCCTCCTTCGCTGTCGGCTTTCGTAACGTTGAATGCACGATATTCGTGTTCAGCAGGCTTAGAGCGACGGCGATCATGAATGTACATAAGTGGAATGTAACGCTGCGCTCTGGTTCAGCTATGATTCAACTTACATTTACGAAGATTCTTTTGATTTGTGTCTCGCATTGTTGAATGTATGCAGGTTACGAATGTTGTACTCCGCAATCTGCGTAGTAATTGCCGCAGTGACACGGCTTGTTTTAGCTGTACCGTTATCCAGGACTGTGTGTTGTCGGGTACCTCGATCACTTGGACACCACACCGTGTATTTATTGGTAAAACACCATAGCCACAGCGCTGTCAGCGTCAGTCCTGTCGTCGTTCGGTGCAGTCAGCTCGGCCAGCTCAGCTCAGCTCAGCTCAGCGCCGGCGCAGCTCGTCAGTCGTCCGCCTATACTCATCCGCCGACCGAGCGGCGGGCCGCGGCCCTCCTCCCTGCTCGGCGCCGGGTCGCGGGGACCCGCAGCGCCGCGGGCGCCGCCGCCGCCCCCAGGCGGGTCAGCCGCCAGACGGCGGCGCCCGCGACCACCTCGCGCGCGCGCGCACGCGCTCGCGCCGCTCAGAAGCGCGCCATGCGCCGGTCGGCGTCGGCCTTGAAGTCGCGGTGGCGCCGGCGCGCCCGGTCGATGATGTCGCGCACGTCGTCGGGCAGCGTGACGCCGTCGAGCGGGTCGGGCGCCGTGAATGGCTCCTCCTTGTCCTTCTTGAAGAAGGGGTCGCTGAAGGGGTCCTTGCCGGCGCCGAGCGGCGACGGCGGCTCGGCGGCGGCGGCGGCGCTCGGTGGCGTGCGCAGTCGGCTGCGCGGCGCCGCCGGCAGCGTCGGCTCGCCGCGCACCGGCGTCGTGTCGCCGTGGTCACCTGGGGTCACAGGCCGGCGTTAGTGGTTAGTGGACGGACCGCCCCCCCCCCCCCGTGCGTCCCGGCATACAGGCCACAGGCTGAAACAGGCCGGAGCCACAGGATAGATGTTATGTGGAGCTTCACAGGTGAAACTTAAAATATACGAGCATTTAATTGTTACTTACAAATGTGTCACGTAAATGGGATCTAAGGTCATGTCATTGCTTTAGCTAACATACCTTGTAAAGTGGTTTCATTTTCACGAGGAAGCGAGAGCATAACACAGCTGGACATACGGTAGGCGATTCAATCACATCTCGTCTATCGCCGACTGCAAGAGCACTGGCAGGTCCGTCGGATCAAAACAGTAGCGGCGGAACACCTTCAATTAACCCTCGCAGGACCTATTGGTTTTCTACATACGCGCCGGCCGAGGGGGGGGGGGGCGGGTACGACCCCCCCTCGCCGTTTCGCCCCTGGTGGAGCTAGCGCGTCGCGGAAAAAACGAGCGTGTGCGCCGTTACGAGACGCAGAGATTGGTACCCGATTTTAAGGTCCTAGGTCAACCGGTGACCTCTGAGGTTAGGTCAAGTGTCCCAAGGTACGGTTCAGTTTTTGTTGAATAACTTCGCCAAAAACGACCGCAGAGCCGCGATTTTGGCAGCATCGTGTTCGCCTTGCTCAGGCGCGTCGAATGATATACTTTTTGTTCGGGTCAGGTCAACTTGGGGTGTTGACCTCAGGTCAAGGTCAGGTCAGCACCCCCAGGTCACGAAGTTGGTCGAAAGAGGTCATGTCGCATATCATTCGATTCGGCAGGTCTTCCTGAGTCCATTGGTGGCTTCCGCGACTCGCTAGCTCAATTTGATCAAGAGTTATTGACGAAAAACTAATTTGACCTTGATGACGTCATAAATGACGTCACGCAAAGTCAACATTGAAAAAGTGACGCATCTAACCTTGCAAGGAATGCATCAAATCACGATTCTGTGTGCTTGAGATAGTTGGAGATCGTTCCCGGCGCCAGAATAGCAGTTTTCATTTTTCCCCATTGACTTTTGTGAGGTCACGAAAATGACCTGACCTCATATGACCTTTAGGAAAAATCCGAGATATACAAATTGTGAGACTCATAATGGATACTAGATCCTGCAAGTTTCATTTCCCTGTGACATCTCCTCTGGCAGTGAGGGCGTTGCGAAGTTGCGACATCTGAAGACCGTGCAGAGGTTCACTTATGACGTCATAGGTCAGTGACCTGACCTGACCCAAAAATGCGGTTGGTGTCAAAAGATCCAGCTTGAATCAAAGGTCAGGTATGCCAAGTTTCAGCTCTCTATCGCCAGCGTGTTCGGAGCTATCGCGAAAAAACCCTATGGGGGGGGGGGGGCGGCACCCGCCCCCCCCCCCTCGGCCGGCGAGGGTTAAGGGGGGGGAGGCACTGCCGACTTTTGGTCCCATTCTTTCCATGCAACGGCCATAGGGCTAATGTTAAAATGCTAAAATCAAAGGGGGCACGGTGCCCCGGTGCCCTCCCCGTTCCGCCGCCTATGGATCAAAACAACTTAGGTAGCAGTCAGTTCGCAAGCTTTTGAAAGTAAAAGGTGAAACACGCTTAAGCAGAAGCTCAAAATCATTCAGATAATTACGACCTAATGTAAATGAATAGGCATAAACCTTAAACGTTGGTATTTTGCTCAGGTGATGGCGAAACGGTGGAGAAGGGGACTACCCGTCCTGTTGTCGGCCGGGGCGTTATGTAGAAAACCGACAGGTGTCGTTGAATAAACATAATTAAGCCTTCCATAAATTTTGGTAGGCGCTGAGGTTTAAAGAGGAAGCGATGAAGCGGGGATCTTGCGCGCTCCATGTGATAAAGGGTCTATGGATAAAGCAACGCAAAACGAATTAGCAATTAATCAGCCCTGCCTCTCACCGTCATACTACCGGCATGATTCGCCTCCAATTCAACTGCCAATCGCCACATTGAGGCAGTTTCTACAAGGTGGTCATTTTGGTGGTGGTGCTACTGTTGCTGCTAATACGAGTAGGTACCTAATTATGTTAGCAAACAAAAGCGCGTCCCAGTGGACCTTTTTCTTCATAATTGAAGCAAACCACTGAAACGTCTATTTCTTTATACAGCATTTAGGTGCATGGAAATACATCCAGACTTACGAGCAATCTAACTGTTTGGTCTATTTGAGTGCATAGACAGTGAAAAGGTCTGGGCCGTTTCGGCTTGGCTGTCACTCCGCTATGCTCACAATTAACAAACGGCTTTGTGTCTACCGTAGAAAGTCCTACGTGCATACCGTTTACAAACAGGTATACACTTAACACTAGCGTCCAGTTAAGTACAGGATGATGTTCCATTCCGCACAAGCTATAAGTTGCCTAAAATACTTATTTGTACCGACTCTCCCGCAGTTAAGCACGTCTTTGTCGAACAGGGACAGAATGTGTCGCTCAGTCCGTGTGATGCGGCACAGCCTACCATTCCAGGCATCTGGCTGCCCGTGATAAGTGGAAAGTCATTCTGTGGCCTACTGCACTTCCCTGATTCCATCCAACCATACTGAGGAGGCCCGACAATCCCAGCCGCCAGAAGTGAGCCAACTATCGTTCTTCTCCCCATTGAAGAAGTGCACCATAGGCCATAGCCGCCAACAATATCATTTAATCAAGCTCCTATCTCTCGCACACGTCTACTTATAAAAACGCCAGGCTGGTGAGCATCCCCTCTTTGTAAATTGTAAGCGCCTAAGCAGGGTCAAAGCACAAAGACAGGGCCACTCTCACTTCCTACGCAGCTAAGTATGTAGATTCAGGAAAGAACTGACTCTAGGTATTCGTCTCGAAGCCAGGGACATGGCTAATTTGTACGTTCGGGTCCACCTACAGGCAAGGTAATACCAAAAACGCATTGCAGGTAGGTATAGTTGCGTCTATATCCAATGTCTATGCATCATAGAGGTGCAACTATATCCAGGTCTAACCATCGCAGAGGCAGGACTATGGCAAGGTCTAATGATCGTAGCTATAGAGGCGACTGTCCAGGGAACAAGGTCTAAGCATCGTATAACGGCGCGACTATCTTCAGGTCTACCCATCTCCGACTATCTTCTGTCGACACACCCGTGGCGCTGCTGCGGAGTCGCTCTAGCAGCCAGTCGGCACCACACGCTGCGGCTAGGTGTCGGGACAGCGCTGGTCACCGCCGCTACGGGGAGGGGCGCAGGCGGGTCCGGTCCGGTCGAGAGGCGGGTGGCTCGGACTCTGACCCAGCCTGCAGCCGGAGGGCTCCTCAGATAGCTGCCCAGTCAACCCCACGCGTCGACGGACGCTACCTCTACATGGTCTGTCCCCGGCTCTACTGAAGGCAGGTGCTACCGGCGCTACCGGCGCTAGCGATGCTACCGGTGCTAGCGGTGCTAGCGGTGCTCTAGGTTGAGTGCTA